GATCGAAAGTGATCGGAGATTCCGACCAGCTAAGGAAGGAGGGGACGGCCGTCTCGGCAGCGTATGCCTCCCTATAGCGTACCTTGTGCTGGCGCTTGGACCAGATGGCGTCAGATCTGCCGAAGATCATGATGCATTCCTCAGCGTCGGGGAAACTATCATCGTCCTTGCCCGCTGCACCTCCTTTCTTGGCTGCCGCCTCTTTGCCGTCCCCTTCTTTTGGCCCGCTGGCCTATCGTAGGAAAAGTTTGAGGAGTTCGTAGTCCTTGTAGAGGTGTTTGACGGGGTAGGCGTGGTTGATGCACGGACTGTCTATGAGCTTGTTGAAGTGGTCAGGCAGTCCCTGTTGGGGCTGCTTGCCCGTGCGATCAGGCATGGCGACCAATGCGGTGTTGTCCGATCGGCGCCGATGCTTTTTGTTCTTCTTGCCCCTCTATGTGGAGGGGCCCTCATCTTGGTCCGTGCGTTTGGCCTTGCCTTTGTCCCGGCCCCTATTGAAGACCGCTCCGATCGCCTCCACGTCGGAGGCGTGGTTAGTGGCGACGTCGAGCAGGTTGCGGGTGGTATGGGGCTTCAGGCATCCAAGCTTGTGGATCAGGGACTCGCAAGTCATCCCGAAGAGGAATGTGCTGATGACGTCCGTGTCGATGACATCAGGGAGGGAGTTGCATCGTTGAGAGAACCTGTTGATGTAATCCCACAGGGACTCGCTGGGCTCCTGCTGGCAACTCTTGAGGTCCCAGGAGTTTCCAGGGCGGACATACGTCCCCTGAAAATTTCCGACGAAGACCCTCTTGAGGTCCGCCTAGTCGCAGATGCTGTCGTGCGGGAGGAATTCAAGCCATGCTCGAATATGTTCCCCCATGCAGATGGCGAGATACTGAATGATGAAATAGTCATCATCCACCCCTTCGGCTCGGCAGGCAAGCCGGAAATCTTCGAGCCAAATATCGGGGTTTGTCTCCCCGGTATACTTGGGGATGTTGGTGGGCGGTCGGAAGCGTTGTGGGAACGACACTCTTTGGATACGCCGGTCAAAGGCTCGTGGTCCCGGACCCTCAGGGCTAGGACTCCGGTCGTCCGGCCGGCGACCGTGCCTGGGGCGCGTTTCACCGCTCCCCTCGATGGTTCGACCGAGATCCGTATCGCTTGTTCTCACCGCCGCTCGGTGGATGTCATCATCATGCCAGGCCTGACGCCGGTTGCTGACGACGCTGTGAGCGTCCTGGTACGGATCGGGCCGCTCATGTACCGACGGTCGGTGCAGAGTAGGCGCCAGGTCGGACCGAGGCATAGCTGCTGCCTCCAGAGCCGCACCTGGCGGCTGTAGCGGTGAACGCATGGAGCGATCCGTCTGGCGCGTCCCTGCTCCCCCAGTGGGGAGAGAGGGCGCGTGTCGGAGTTGTGATGCAGAGATTTCCGCTTGTTGAATGGCGGCGACATCTACTAGAACCCAAAGGTTCTAGTAGACCGCCCGCTCCTAGGGGTCGATGGGCTCAGGAACGCCGCGCAGAAGCATTGTTGCAGCAGTGATGTTCTGGCTAGCCTGAGTGAACTGTGGGAAATCGTTCCCCTCATTCATGATGTCGTGTTGGACTTGGTGGGCGCGACCCCGGGTGCCGCCCGCCGGGTTATGCGCATGGGGCGCAACATGCTGCACCGAGCTTGCTGGCGCAGGTGGTAGCTGGTTCTGCCGCCATTGTCGTAGTTCCTCGGCGTGCCCTTGTGCAAATGCGAGGGCCCCCGCACACGGATCCGGAGGGGTGTGAGTTTGCGCAGACTCCACAACGACCGGCGGCTGTCCCAGAGCATCCGCCATAGCGCACCCCCGGGACGAACAGTGGCTAGGTGCCACGTCGCCGATGCTGGAGCCGTCGCTCTCACCCTCGTCATCTAGGAGTTCGTGGAAAGTGGTAGGAGCATAGCTCGCCATTCCCATGAGTTCGGATGTGAGGGGGGATGGCGGCAGTGTCCCTTGGAGCCCCCAAGCGCACGTGTCCGCGGGGGACGCAAGGCCGTAGGGGGACCAATCGTACGGTGTCCGCGATGCGGTCAATACGGTCCCTCCGGATAATTGGCGAGAGATAGTAAATAGAGAGTAAATTACAGTATGCATATCACTCACAGCGGGGTTTGAGCAGAGAGTTTGCTCGGAATAAAGCGCAGATGCCTTGTCGTTGAAGTCGTCGTGCGTCCTGGAGCCGATGGAGGGTGCCCATCCGATGGGTGCCGGAACGAGAGTCTCCTCACGGAGGCGTAGTACGCCGAGTCGGTCGGCGATGAAGTCTAGGCTTCCGAAGAGGAAGGCCTGGGACGGCTCGAAGACGGGTGGAACCCACATCCCAACCGGTGGGAGTGCGGGAAACCCCAGTGAGCTGAAGCGAGTCGTATCGCTTGAGCCCGCCATGGCGAAGGTGGCGAAAAAGTGGGTCATCCAATGACCAAAAAGTGTTGAACATACAGCGTCTTCCCCACGGATGACGCCAACTATCGGTGCAGAAAGTGACCAACAAATAATATTTGTAGTTTTGCTGTACGTTGTGATCGGAGGTGGTCTAGCACTCAATGACATAGGGTTTATACTGGTTCAGGCAACGTGCCCTACGTCCAGTTTGAGTCGATCGATGACTTTATTCCTAAGCCCAGGTGCTTGAAGTTTGCAGTGGGGTTACAAACGAGAAGGAGAAAGATGGGGGGTATAAGAGGTCCCGTCGGACTCCGGTCGGAAGGGCCGAGAGTGACGGGAGCCCCGCTATGGGCTAAGTGTTCAAGCGTGTGCTTGAGGTTCGAACCTGACGGTTTTGTGGTTGTGAACTAGTGAACTTGATCGATCTAATGAATTTGGAATCACTTGAATATTAGGAGAGAGCGCATCCCCTTTTATAGATGAAGGGGATGGCCTTACAAGTGAGAGGGAGAGAGTACATATGCTTCTAAGCCTTGTTACCCACGCCGGCGGGTACATGATGATGGTAGGCGCCCACAACACTATTGGATGTCGGATGCACGTAGGAGGTTATGTTGTTTTTTTCGTGTATGGCAGATGTCGGTACCTGCTATACTATTGATGCCTAGAAGCATGTGAGGGGTTTCACCATGTTCACTCGGTACGGTAAATGCCGGTGCCCACAACACTGTCGATGCCCAGAGGCATATGGGGGGAGCCTTACCGTATGGGAGTTAATGGCGTCCACAATATTATAGGGAAAATATCGACGCCTACAATACTGTTTGTGTAAGGGAGGTTGCAGAGTACTGTTTTCTATAGTTGTACATGGTACGGTCCCTGGTATCGTGGTTTGACTTGTGCGCCCCACCTTGCTTTCTCCGTCCGTTTCCTGGTCCTTACCGAGCGGGCGTCCCCGGTTGGTTGGTCCCAGTCGGATCTGATTGCGCCAGTCGGAGAAGAGCAGTAAGCGGGGTTTTAGCGTACCCAGGTCGGAGACGTGGGGTCGGAGTCGAAAGTAGTGCTTTCGCCAGGCCTTCCGGTCGGAGAGGCCGTTCGTTGGCGGGCTAGAGATCGAAGTGAGCGCTCCGGTCGGAGAGGTGGGCCGAAGTCGGAAAACGGGCGCCGCTCCTCCTCGGCCAGGTCTTCTTGTCGGTGATTGGATCGTCCTTCTGGCCTGTTGTTCAGATACTTGGGCCGGCCCATGAGTTGCGCGTTGTCTGCTTGGGCTAAGCCTTTGTTGGGAAGACGGTCCGCGAGGGATCCCGAGTTCATGAACCCGACAGTTTTCTTCTCACAATAAACCAGCATCAGTTGGGCTTATCAGCCCAGAAACCAAGCCGCCAACAGGCTCATGTACCGTAACTCTTGCCTCGGGCAGATTAACAAAATAATTAGGACGCCCGATCTCCACCTAATCCACGTGCGTTTACATATTAATTTCAGGCTCATCACTCGTCAGGCATCCAATCCAGTAATGACACTATTCTTAGCGGAGGACCAAACAGTTTAAACCAGTACTGACATATGCCACGTTATTCAAGTTGGCATGTAGTCGGATATATTGTCCTGTTCACTTAACTGATAAGTCATAACTAAAAATACTATTAACTAATTTATTATGAGAAAAATAATATTCATTCGTTGAAAAAATACGGCCAGCGAACATGGCGTATACAATGAACTGCGATGCTAATCTCGATGGCCAGCACCCAGCAGCTGGCTATTTAAGCAGGGCCTCCCGTGGATAGATGTGTGCCAGTGCCACTGCAACCCCACCCCCTGCATTTGCAGTGTTCTAAGTAGTGTTCGGTTTTCACATCGCTTTAGGCCCCGTTTAGATGTCCCAAAAACTCAAAAAATTTTGCACAGTACTTGTCACATCGAATCTTGTGGCATATGCATGGAGTACTAAATGTAGACGAAAAAAAACTAATTACATAGTTGACCGAGAAATCGTGAGACGAATCTTTTAAACCTAAATAGTCCATAATTGAATAATTTTTGCCAAATACAAACGAAAGTGCTACAGTAGCCAAAAAGCCAAAAAATTTCGGAACTAAATACGCCCTTAACCAACCGAGCTAGCTAGGCTGGACGCCGGGCAGTGCTGCTGCCCTCCTCGGCGCTGCTTCTGTGGATCGTTTGCTCCTGCAACTGTAAGTACTCTGGCTTTTCTTTCCTGCCCTGGTACTACATGGACGCATTCGTGTGATGAAGTTCTTTATGGAATGTATTTTTACAACTTATCTTTTCTTTTTTTGTGTGAGAAAGTTAATATGTCTCTTTATAATTTTAGTCAAATATATATGAGGTGAGTTTACTTAGAACATATGAAAGTACACTATGTTTTAGGACGGAGGGAGTACCTTGTAAGAAAGAATAAACGATTCTAATTATCTGATCTAATTAAATGAACAGCTCACAGTTATTTAAGAATACCATAGCCAAGTGAATAATTGATATAACTTGCTTGTGATCCAAATGCATGAAGGGGCGCTACTGAGTGTGGCCGCGTCACCGTATGGCGCTAACATGACTGACCTTATGCGCCATGTGGAGTTCTTTGACGAGGACAGGGACGGCATTCTTACTATTCCGGAGTACTAAAGGTGCGTATATACGCGTGATAACTTCCTTAATAAGTTCTCCCTTTTTTTTGAAAGGTTTTTGAGTTCTTTAACTCACCAAAACTCTGTTTAATTTCTAACTTTGACAATATATATATAATGTATATGAGCAGGTTTTATTGCGATCGGAATGGACCCTGCCTTCGCACTTACCATGGCCACAGCAACCCATGCTGCTTTCGGTCCTTTGACGACCCCTGTACGTACGGCCACTCTCGCTCCCTTCATTTGTTCAGATTATCAATTTATCATATATAAATAAAATAAATGAACACATACACTACTTATTTACTATGTTGTATATTCCCTACTACTTGATTATTGTAGCCTGGAAAATTACCGAGCGTAAATATCCATGTGTCCCACATCCACGGAGCAGTCCATCCAAGTGACTCGGGTGCCTATGATAAGAAGGGAAAGTATGTGCAGTACTCTCTCTCGTCTCGATCTGCACTTTTGTATTACCATAACTTAATCTACACAGTACGACACAATTGATTAATTGATTTATTACAACTCTCATGTTTCAACTTTTCATTCAGTTTTGTCCCCAAAAAATTCGAGAGAATATTCCAGAGATTTTCTCTCACAGCGAGGAGGACGCCTTGTCGTGGTTGGAGGTAGAGGCGATGCTCATCGCAAACAGGGACCTTCTTAGGCCTCTATCATGGTACGTACTACGTAATTTACTATTGAATCAAATTAATTAACAGCATCAATCAAATAGTAATAAATAGCTAGCTGATGGACTTTGCATTGCATGCCCCGCAGGCCGGCGGCTGAGACGGAGTGGCAGCTGATCCACATGCTGGGCAAGGACAGGCACGGGTACCTCCACAAGGGGCGTCTACGACGCGACGGCACCGTCTTCCCCAAGATGCGCGACCACACCATCGACCCGCATCTTGGCGGTCACAGCGACGCCTGAGGGATCCTCCGATCGATGGGCTCTCGCAACTCGTTCATGCATGCGTTCCTGCTGGTGCAATAACAGTGTGCCGTACGTCGTCGTATGTAATGTACGGAACACTGCTTCAGTACACGACCATCTTAGCCATTACCGCTCCTGTTTTATTTTTTTAATTACATCGACCAGCGGGTTTAGTTTTTACAGCTGGAGTACTATTACTAGTATCACCGTGTGCAAGAATGCACCGTACCCACTTTACTTACAATAAACGGTACGGTGCTTTAAGTCTTGTGTGTACTGTAACTAATCCAAATAGGCAACCACACCGCAGTGAGCTGTAAATCTGTAATATGAGTTGCCTTTTGTGCGTGTCACTTGTACTCGATCGATCAATCCAATAATATATCATTTGTTGAAATATTTCAAAAATAGCAATAGGGTTGGAAGAGCATCTCCTTCCACTCCCTAAATCATCATTTGTAGACTCGTTTGAGTAAAAATTGCTTTATATATCTTCGTACACTCCTCCAACAGCTTTTTTATATCTTGTGCGTACCCTAAAGAGTCATCATCACTCTCCATCTTTGGCTAGCAAGAAATCCGAAATACAGAGGATATCTATATTTAGAGATCTACTAGATTCGTGCCCGTGCATTGCTACATGACAGCTAAACTTTTGTACTAAAAACATACGGATCGCGCGATAAGATAACAATACTGTGAAATTAAATACCGACGTTAAATTGACATTTAATCAAAAAGCAAAGTTCGTGAAATTAACACAGTCACGGAGAGAGCGCGTCGTAGGTTCTCAAACTCTACTGTATATAGGGATGAAAACGGATCGGATATGGACGGATATCACTAATATTACATTTGTTTTCATATTTCTGTCCGGATTTAGATTCGAATACGAATAGTGTCAACTTTGCCGGATAGGATACGATTAGATATCGACATCATAAATATGCGATTTGAGTATTCGGATACGGATACGGTATCGGATGTTGAATATTCGGACTCGGATACAGACAGATCTCAACCCCTCTAAACGGATTCGGTCTCGAATACGGTCGGAAAATATCCGTACCGTTTTCATCCCTAACTGTATAGATCTTTCCGTGATGCGGCTAAGATAATGTTTTATATCGGCAGAAAAGAATCTTTGATATCAATTTCTTTCTTACGCCATTAAATCCATGAATAAGTTATGCCCTATCTCCATACCATCATGTACACTGGACGCTGGGAAGTGCCACGGTAATTGGCTTCAATGATCTCATCCTTTTCTCCATCGCGCTTCATGGTTGCAGTTATGCACGCACTTTCAAGATAGATTGTACCTCCCGGCCTCTTTATCAAACTCTCGTGGACCATCAGCAGCTTAATATAAGCATCTATGATTTGCATACATTGAACCAATAAAAAGGAGGACATTGAAGTTGCCTATGTTTCATTGAGTATTATGACTTGCATCTATTATCACATCACACAAGAATTCATATGGCTGAAAAAGACATTTCATGTGCTTTCTCGACACCGGAACATCATTGATGAGCACAAGCTGCTCCTTCCTAGGTGAAGATGGAATTTTTTTGACAGATACAATTATGGCTCTATCACTTTTGGTACAAACATAATCTGAAAAAGACAACATACTTGTAGAATTAATCTTACAGGATTAATTAATACTATTGCATGTATTAATTATTATTAAAAACATATAACAAATGAATAGTGTAATGGATGAAAAGTACAGTACCTTCTGGCACAATGTGAGCCGACAATGATTTTTAGGTTTGTTATGCATCAAACCCTCTATCAAATCATTACGCAACAATTCTTTTTCTTTTGATGGGTCCGCATTTGAAGAATCTCTTTGAGCCGGCCTGTGAACATCAACCTTTGTCACATTAGTGTCTTCCTTGGCGGTAACGTCCTTCAACTGTAAGCCCATTGCATCCTTCCATTCGTCCTTTGCGGTGTCTTTCATCATGCTCTTGTCTGCCTTATACTCTGCATATAGCTTGTGTCACCACGGTCGGCTACCTGAGCACTGTATATTGCAAAAACAAGGGTGTCACATGTAATACAATTCTTTATGATTGTAACCTCCAAAAGCAAGGGGCTGAAAAAATCCTTGTTTTACCTGTCTAGCACGAGCTTCACCTCATAGTGTGCCTGATCGTCCCGATCACCGCAACTCTTTGTGCTCCATATTGGTTGTATCTATATCATCACCTGCAGAACCCTTTAATCCTAACATCTCCATATCATAGTTTGCCTCCTCACCAGGTGGCTCATCGGTGGGGACATGTTCTTCAATTCCATGGTTTGCTGCACATAGTAATAAATGGAGATAACATAAAATCGTATTATCTCTTGTGTCGCCCCTTTTAGATTATTGCCGTTTCCTACTTGTATTAATCTTTTGTATTAGAAATATTGTAATAATACTTTTCCTCTTTGTAGGGAGAACTATCATTCCTATAATGGAGTTTCACGATGCATTTATTTCAACCGGATGCTCATGAATTCTGAAATACGATGCTCAAGTGCAGCCGATGGAAATTTTTCATTTCTTGTTTATGTATGGTCGTTTTTCATTTTTATGATGCAACTTATCATTTCCCCATCGTTAGTTTGTTTTTGTGTATACATAAGAATTGGCCTTAACGATTTAGTACCAACTGTGATGGGTATGTTTGTATTGTGTATGCCAAAATCTTAACTCATTTGTGTGATTGTGTCGGTCTTCAAATGAATATCTTGCCGGCACAGGGACCTTGAAGAGTATCTTTTTACCCTCTTCAAATGGATAGCTTACTGGCATCCTATGTAGGCTATCTATGTGCTATGCACAGTGGTTTTACTCGAGACACTTGTGCTAAAACAAAATATGTATTTGCCTAATTCATTTTAAGCAACCATCAATAGCGGCCGCCGTAGCGGACCGATTTTATATTAATACAATTTTAATTCATTTTACTACAATCGATGCAAGGGCGACGGTGGGGCAGCTGCCGGAGACGACCGAGCCCGCGTACGAATCGATCTACGGATCGGCAGGACTGGGGAGAGCCGATCGATCCGTGCCGTGCACCCTGAGCGACGCAAACCCAAGTGATGGACATAGAAACAAGAGGCAGGGGTTGGGAGGTTTACCGGCGTAGGAGTTGAAGACGTCGACGGAGCCGCAGGAGGAGGTGGCGAGGAGGACGCCGACGACGCGCTTGCTGGCGAGGTCCCGAAGAGGACGCCGACGACACATTTGTCGGCGAGGTGCCAAAGAGGACATTGACGATGCGTTTGCGGACACCCTGGGCTGCCGCGCCCTATGCCGGCGAACGGCGTGGATGTTCCGACGATGATGAGGAGTATGCGAGGAGCCGCTGGATGTGGAGCGCGATCAACCGGACGAGGGAGAGCGCGGAGACGAAGGTGCGTGCGTCGCAAGTGACGCTATCCCAGGCGCAGGGCCGCTCGTCGTCCTCGCTCCACATCGTGAGGCTGTCGTCAGGGTCCGACATGTCGGCCTTGAACACAATCAGCCCAGCACGTCGTCGTCCAGCCCCGCCCCCGCCAGGCTGCCCTTTTCCACATGCCGCCCGCCGCGAGGCTTGAGCCATCATGGCATCCTGGCCCGGCGAGGGAGAGCGCGAAGACGCAGCAGGTGAACGCGTCGCAGGTGACGCCGTCCCAGGCGCAGGCGAGCCCTCTCGTCGTCCTTGCTCCACATCACGAGGTGGCCGTCAGGGTCCGACACGTCGGCCTTGAACACGATCGGAGTAGCGTGTTCTTGTGCTCGATGGAGGAGTGCGCACATTCGCGGTATGTTTTTGTTATTAGTGTTGGGCTGGGTTAATTAGCGTCGTAACCGGAGGCTCGTTGCCATGTATGCTGGTGCCGTTGATGCCGCTTGGCGTCCATGCGTGTTAGCCATCCGACACGCCAGTGTTGCATGCAAACATGCAATCTGTACATGGATAGCACAATAGTTTTCTAATACTTCCTATTTTGCCGTGATTGACTCCGTTAGTTCGGCAAGGTGTCGTTCGAGCGGACGGCCTACGCTTTTATCACGAGCATTTGAGGCCAATAATAAGGTAATAAGGCAACAACACGATTGAACGGATCGCACGGGACCGACATCTTTCCTTCGCAGACGTGGGATCGCATGGTCCTGCAGGATGAAGGTGAGGCGAAATTTTGTCGCACCAAATAGGTGTCCATTCTTTAGTCTTTTTAGTTGTGAGAAGAGAGAATTGAAGAGACTGTTGAAGGATTATTTTTACCAAAATATCTACTCGTATAAATTAGGAACTATATAAAGAGTTTCTTGAGTTTGCTCTAATTGGGTCAATTGGGGCTAATAGCAAGCTTGTAATGGCCAAATTACCTGTCATTTAATAAGTTGCATGTAATTGCGTCAACAAGAGCTGGTCCAGCCGCTTTTACTTTTATGACAGGCAGGACTAGGACTAGACAAAAAAACTCATTGAGCTGGCTGGGTGGCTCGTTTTATAAATACTATGATTGAACTCATTTTTCATTTAAAACAAAAAAAAGTTGCTTGAGTTACTTTTGACTTTCGCTCAGCTTGTTAAACTTGGTTTGAAGTTTGGTCTCCAACAATTCAGGAGACAATGATAAATAAGATTATGTCAATTTTGAAGAAATCTCGAAAAAAGTGTAGTTGACTCATTATCCAAAAGGGCTGGCAAAAAATACCGCATGTTGAACCAAAAATGCCGAAACGAAAGTTACCGCAAATCGAACCGAAAACATCGAGAACAGAAGCGAAAATACCAAAACCCAAGTTTACGGTCCCTGTTCGGTTCCCAGTTCCCTGAGCCAAATTTTTGTCAGTAAATTCGGTTCTTTACCTCGGTAAACCGAAATTCCCAAATTTGGAGAACACATGTAGGAGGCCTAGTAAATAAATAGAGCCTAGCCCACACAGAAGCTAGAACCCTGTAGTAGTTGATAGTTCCACACTCGCCCTCGCCCCCAAGCCATCGCCCTCGGCCCGCCCCTCGCCCCGCGCCACCGTGTCGCGCCTCCTCCCTCCACCGCCAATAGGGCATGCACAACCTGCTAGGGCCTCAGCAAGCGGCCGCTCTTCCTCCCCATTTGACTATTGCCACCATTGACGCTCTTCCTCCTCCTAGTTCCTTGCGACCTCTTCAACAATCAGAAAATACTCAAATTTTACATATGAGCTTTGTGATGAATCTAAGCTCATGTGATGTTGCGCTGGAGCTGGCGGGCGCGACCCCGAGCGCCGCTCGCTGTTTTATGCGAACGGGGCGCAGTGTGGTGCGCCGAGCGTGCCAGCGCAGGTGGCGGCTGGTTCTGCCACCGTTGCCATAGCTCCTTGTCGTGCTCTTGTGTGAGCGTGAGGGTCCCCGCACAAGGGTTCGGAGGGGTGCGAGTATGCAAGGACTCCGCTTCCACCAGTGGCTGTCCTAGAGCGTCCGCCATAGCGCACTCCTGGGACGGACGGTGGCTAGGTGCCACATCGTCGATGCTGGAGCCGTCACTCTCAACATCGTCATCCATGAGGTCGAGGAAACAGGTGGGAGCATAGCTCGCCATCTCCACGAATTCAGACGTGAGAGGGGGCGGTGCCGGCATCCTTCAGAGCCCCCGGGCGTACGCATCCGCGGGGGACGCGAGGCCGTAGGAGAACCGGTCGCATGGCGATCACGGCAGGGACAACGGGGTCCCTCCAGATAATCGGCGGAAGATAGTGAATAGTAAGTAAATAACAGCATGTACATTACTTACAGCGGGGTTTGAGCAGAGAGTTGGCTCAGAATGAAGCGCAGGCGCCTTGTCGTTGAAGTCGTTGGGTGTCCCGAGCGGGGGGCGCCCCTCCGACGGGTGTCGGGATGGTTGCCTCCTCGCGGAGGCGTAGTACGCCGAGCCAGTCGGTGACGAAGTCCAAGCTTCCGAAGAGGAAGGCCTGGGATGGCTCGAAGACGGGTGGAATCCGCATCCCAACAGGTGGGAGTACGGGAAACTCCAATGAGCCGAAGCGAGTCGTATCGCTTGAGCCCGCCATGGCGAAGGTGGCGGAAAAGTGGGTCATCCGATGACCAAAAAGTGTTGAACGTACAACGTCTTCCCCACGGACGGCGCCAACTGTCGGTGCAGAAAGTGACCAACATGTAAATATTTATAGTTTTGCCATACGTTGTGATCGAAGGTGGCCTAGCACTCAATGACACATGGTTTATACTGGTTCAGGCAACGTGCCCTACGTCCAGTTTGAGTCTGTCGGTGACTTTATTCCTGAGCCTAGGTGCTCAAAGTTTAAAGTGGGGTTACAAACGAGAAGGAGAAAGATAGGTGGTACAAGAGGTCCGGTCGGACTCTGGTCTGAGGGGCCGAGAGTGACGGGAGCTCCGCTACGTGCTAAGTGTTCAAGCGTGTGCTTGTGGTTTGAACCTAGTGGTTCTGTTGTTGTGTCCTAGTGAACTTGATCGATCTGAATCAACTGAGTTGTGTTGAAGAGAGCGCATCCCCTTTTATAGATGAAGGGGATGGCCTTACAGGTGAGAGGGAGAGAGTGCGTATGCTACTAAGTCTTGTTGCCCATGCCGGTGGGTACAAGATGATGGTAGACGCCCATAATACTGTTCAATGTTAGATGCACGTGGGAGGTTGCGTCGTCTTCTTCTGGTATGACAGATGTCGGTGCCTGCCACACTGTTGATACCCAGAGGCATGTAAGGGGTTTTACCATGTTCGCCTGGTATGGTAAATGCCGACGCCCACAACACTGTTGATGCCCAGAGGCATGTGGGGGAGCCTTACCGTATTTGTCTGGTATGGGAGTTGATGGCGCCCACAACACTATATGGGAAAATATTGGCGTCTACAACACTGCTTTGGTTCTATCATGCCAGTGAGGTCACATGGGACTATCCTGCTGGTGTACAAGGTACGGTCCCTGGTATTGCGGTTTGACTTGTGCGCCCTGCCTTACTTTCTCCGTCCGTTTCCTGGTCCTTACCGAGCGGGCGTCCTCGGTCGATTGGTTCCAGTCGGCTCTAATTGCACCAGTCGGAGAGGAGCTGTAAGCAGGGGTTCGACACATTCCCGGACGGAGAAGCGGGTTGGAGTCGGAAGTGGTGTTTTGGCCAGGCCTTCCGGTCGGAGAGGCCGTCCGAATGCGGGCTGGAGACCAAAGTGAGCGCTCCGGTCGGAGAGGCGGGCCGGAGTCGGAAGCGGGCGCCGTTCCTCCTCGGCCAGGCCTTTCGGTCGGAGATTGGATCGCCCTTCCGGCCTGTCGTTTAGGTGTTGGGCCAGCCCATGAGTTGCGCGTTGCTCGCAACGTTGTCTGTTGGGCCGAGCCTTTGTTGGGAAGTCGGTCTATGAAAGACCTCGGGTTTATGAACCCGACAACTAGCGTACAACGATTATACGAAATCCAGTTTCAAAATATATTAGGTTCCATACAATATAAGGGCACATTTGCTAGTATTACAAACTGAGTTTTTTTTTATTTTGAGAATCGAGTTTTTTTTTTTTGAGCAAGACAAACTGAGTACCCTGTACAACCATCAACCCAAAATCACATTTTCCTAACCCTTTTCCTCCCCATCCGAAGGCCCAATAAGGCCCAGAAGCCCAAAATTTTGCTTACCGTACCCGCACCAGGAGACGTCTCCCGCGCACTCGCGCTCGGCTCCTCGCTGCTCCTCCCGACTCCGGTATTCTTTTCCCCATTCCCCAACCGGCCAACCCCAAACCCTAGCACCAGTGCGGTGGGCGACTGGACGGTCGGCGGCGCCGCGGCGAACTCCGGTTGCGGCCTGCGGGTAGCGCCTGCCACCGAGGGAGTCAGGGAGCACCGGCACAGGCGCGCAGCCCGCTGTGAAAGGCGCCAGCCGCCAATCGGGACCAGGTGCGCCATCCCTCTGATTCCTTGCGCAAAATGCCACTTTGATTAAACAATTTCAAGTTGGGCTCAAATTCTATGAATTTATAAATCACGCTCAATTATGTGTTATATATTTGCTATATATTATACAATTAGAACTATATTGTGTTATACATGCCAAATATTAGGCTTTAGGAGTTTATTTAAGTTGTCAAAAAAAATTGACACCCTTTCACGTTTTGAATACTTAAGCCTAAAATCCTAGGCCCACCACTGATAACTGGGCGGGCCGCCCTTCACCAGGTGCCCTGTGCCTCGTCAGGCCCTTCGCTGGCGACGAGCATCCACTATTTCCCTTACTGCTGTGCGAAGTCGAGTTCCTGACCCAAACTTATCTATCTGTATTCGGATCTGATGTACCGATTAGAAGTGTATACATGTATTTATATGCCTACGAACTTCCATTTTTTTTTCAAAAGTTATTGGGTGTCCATGTCACCATTTGTACACCTATGTCCTTTACTGGGTCCGCCTCTGAGGTGCAGAATTGTGATCCTGTCCTCTTGGTCAGATGCCGAATTACTACGACATCGATGACATCCTCATGGAGGATGAGGTAATTCCAGATGTCATTTTTTGTATTCTCTTTTTGCGTGATGCTTGCGTATACGTGCTGAGTATAAGTTTCTGCTCTGGCTGCAGCCTATTTCAGTTGTTTTCCAAGTAACCGCCAATGGCGTCGGCCTTCTAGATCCTGGTGCTGAAAGTAACTGTGTAAGTGTCAGTCCATTAATTTTGTGCACCAGTGCTTCTAGTGCTCGACCTGTGTACACATGTCAATAAATTCTTCTTATGTCCTGATAATTCCTGAATGTGGATTTATGCAGTTCTTGGGTAATGGTTATCTGAGAGCCTTTTTTATGTACTCTTTGACTTGTTAACACTGATTTGGATTACTCCACTTTCTTAATTCTTATTGGCCTGTCTGCAGTATTTGTCATGAGCCCCAACTGGGAATTGGATACTTTGCATAGTGGATCCTACTAAAAGTGTTAATAGGATGCTTCTCTTGTATAAAAGTGGATCTGAGTCTTTTCTTCTATATCCAGGTCGAAAAGGGTGCCAAGGTGGACCTCCCATTTTGGCTTGCTCATGGTCTGCTAACTCTGGAACAAGCGGTGTCAATAAATCCACCTCCATGCTTCACACAGAGGTAGGTTTCTTCTGTGTCTCTTATGGTATTACTGCATACACAGAAATTCTTAGAGCAACAGGCAACAGCAAAGCATGGGAGAGCAAAGAGTATTCTTAGTTTGAGAAACATACATATATATGTAATTTTGTTTTGACAACATAATAAAAGGATGTGGCTTTTCTTGCCTCCATTGTAGTTTTCCACTAAATAAGTAATATCTGCAGATCTTACTCATATAACTTAATGAGCGAATTTATTAAAGACACGAATCTTCCTGGCTGGAGATTCAAGCGGCTCTCGAGGATTGCTGAATGTGGGAGTTTTGACTATTAATAACTAGTGTGTGAAGCATAGGTTCTGCAGTATGCCCCTAACAAATTTGAATTCTGATGTCTCAATTTTATATATACTGCAGAACTCGGAAGGAGATCCAAGCTGATGCAGCCTGTGTGGATTTGAGGGTTCTTTGCCCATACTTTTATGAGCTAGGATGCAAGATTGTTCCTTTGTAAGTTCCCTCACCACTTTAGTCATGCATATCATAAATTTCATGGTTTTCTCAGTTTATTTACTTTTCTTTTTGAAACACTGAATTCTTTATTTTCATTGAGCCAAGATTCTCACGGTGGACTCTAGGAGTCAATGGAACTCTTGTCCCACCTGGGTTTGAAGGCATCACCTTAGAACAAAACCTGGGTGGAGTCTCCCCTGTGGTCCATTGGTTGAATTGGCAGTCCAGGGTTCTGAACAAATGTGCTTTCAGTATCTTTGCTTTCAATTTCTTATTGTTTCTTATGGGCTATGATCATTGGCAAGACAGGGTTCATTTATGAATTGGGAACTCGTGAAAACATATTGAATTGACTAAGTTCAAGTAGCAGTAGTCATGCCAAGTTTTGCTTTTATTCTATGTTGATTGTTCAGAATATCTCAATGGCTTAAGTAGCTCTCAAGTGTGCTGCTTCTGTTTTTTTCTTTCCTGGCCCCAAATGCCCCTGAAATCCCCTTTATTTTAAGGAAAAGATAAAACTGATATGGCTTGGAGGGAATTGGAGAGGGGATCAGCAAACAAAGTGGCTTTGAGGCTTGGATCAAATCATTTAGTGAAAGGTGAAGGGCGATGGATTGCCCTTCTGGCACTGGTGGTACTTCCGTACTTGTACCCAGACATGACAAGAAATCAGGAGGCTTTGACCTAACTGAAACTTTGAGGAGTTTATTTCTGTGGTGCTGCAAATTGCAAACCTAGCACACTGGGACAGCTTTTATAGATTGAGATGTCTAACCAAAAAGAAATTTTAATCCCTTATGAAGTGCACCAATCTACTTATCTCTTTGTTGACCAATATGTGTCTGCATTGGTTCCACTGTGGCTGACAAGGTTGCCACCATCCTGTGCTTGTTGCAACTGTATGCATGCCATCCTGATGTAAGGTTTTGATTGCTTGTTTGCTTTTTGGGTAGGACAATGCGTTCATATGGACTATGGTATACTTTATGGAAGGTTAACCAACAATTGGTGGGCTAACTTAAGGTACAAGCCAAACATGCCCTAATGCATAATGCTTCTAAGGTTTGAAATACAAATGATTATTTGCTACACATTTGACTTGTCTAGTCAAAACATTCAGTCTCTATGCCAACTGTCAGGTGATAAGCATTGATATAAACAGGTTAAGCTACTGTAAAAGCTGGCAGTTTGGTAGTTTAGGCTCACTATCATTTGACTATAATCAAGTCTGATAGCAAGCTTCCTTTTTTGTGTCCTCCAATGAGGGTTTTTTTTTTTTTAACGTAGTGTCCTCCAATGAGTGATTGGTCATCCCTACTGAGGCATTCCTTTCTATAGCTTTTATGTTAATTCTTGTTATGACTAGGCATCATTTTATATTATAGAAATATGCGGGTAATGTAATAGAGTATTGCGGTCAGTGCTGCATGGGAACAGGTGTGGGTGTCAGTGTCTGGCTTGGGTATGTGTCTCCGATTCAGTAAGTTTTTTGGACATGCCAGTTACCACTCGGAATCCCACACAGGTGCAATAATTGGGGCACGGGTGCCCAGGTAGCATTCAGTTTCTCTATGCCTATGAAACTGTTATATAATGAACATTGATATAAACAGGTTAAGGTAGTTTTGTGTTTAGGATCAATCCTCTTGGTGACAATACTAGCGTTTTGTTATTTTCCATATTGTTTTGGTCTGTTCCACTGATTTCATTTGATTTGGTTTGATTTGATCAATCTATTCCCCCAAAAGAACATGTTTTTTTTTTTTACAAAAGCATGGTCCTTTCATCCTGGAAAGCAATTAATTCATAGTGGAATATCTGTTTCTGTATTTCAGTTGGTCTGTTTGCTGCATTTCCCTTCAGAGATAGTCAGTTCGATTCTATATGATGGAGAATAGTTCACTGCTGTATATCATCATTACCACCAGTCCCTCTCCTGTCAGTTCTATTTCTGCATGTTGGAAATTAATCCAGTACTGAGATAGCACTGAACCGCCATGGTGCAGAGTTTCATCATAATCTGACAAGCGTGCCTTGATGCCACAAGTTTAACTAATAACTTCCGGTTACTTTGAAATGACTTGTCCCATGTTGCCATATATACTGTTTAACTAATTCTGGCAGTACAAAACTTATAGCTATTTTAGGTGTTCCCCTTTCCCATGACCCAGTGTAGCTTTTTACACTCAAATGTTAATGATGTTATCATAATCTAGCATTCATGAACCTTGGTGTCCCTGGTATTTTGCCATCAATTTTTATGGATGTTGAAACTGTTATGGAATGTTGAAAAGATGGACTCAAACTTAATACTAATGTGAACTTCTAGAAGTTAAGTATTTGGTTGTATGATTGTATCACTTGAAATAAATTAGTTTATTCCTTCAATGAGTCATTTCCATTGGAATATCAGTGCCACTTATGGTCCAGGAAATTTGTTAGTCAGACTCCCATCCCATAACAAAAAAAAAGGTCTGATGATTTTATTTTGCTTACTTTCCTGTGTTGTCACATTTACAGGGTGAGTGACAAGAGCATTGGCCTTTTCTTGCGCTATGCATTCACTAGTAGGTACAAAGAGGTTCTAAGCAAGTCTCACAGTTCTTCCATGATGACAATGCCCAAGTTCGTTCCACGCCTTACAAAAGAAGAAAGTCGAGGCATGCAAACATCTCCCCTGTGATAATCATAATCAGGTATTTTTCTACAACAGCTAACCTTTTTTATATATATTTGTGCCAGTGTTTGAATCTGCTAGAGAATCGATGGCTGCTTTCAAGAAATGGCGAGCCGGTGGGGTGAGGCTGCAAAAGGCTTCCATTCTTGGCCGAAAGAGGAAGACAAAGCTGCATGATGGACAACCTACTCCTTGAATCAGTTTTAAGGTCTCCATGGAAAAGAGTGCTTGAGCAGTTGAGGTGACGAGCCCAGCTTTGATTTGGTAGTACTGCGAGGAAAGAGAAAAACAAATGGCAGATTTAATCTGGTGCACCTTTGTGCGCTTCTGTAGTATGACAGCAGCTCTAATCTGTCCATCCTTTGTAAGGACAATGAACTTTGTTAAATCACGATATCCTGTTTGGAGCAAGTGTCATGAGTTTCAGTAGGGTATCTAGCAGACTTTGCAATTGTAACTTTTAACCACTTTCAAGAGTTTTGTACAAGTTTCACATGTTTGCAGTGGAAAAGGAGAATATGAGATTGGGATGTGATGGGTTTTACACTCCCATTGGTTTGGTTGGTTGCAAACCGTAGATAGATAAAGTGTGAAGTCTTTGTTTTGCCATCATTCAATATAATTTACTTTTCCGTATGGTAAAATGAAACATGTTTCTACTGAGCTGGAGCTCTACGAAGGTCTCTATTGATTTGGTGGATCATGCTTTAATGATTGCACACGGTTTCTTTTCCTTCTAATCAACAGTACATGCAGATAACAGGTATCTGACCAAAACTTAACCAATCCGTGAGTGTGGAGAGGAATTACTCATTTGAAATTCTGCACTGCGGTCTTGGTAAAATTCTGCGAGAAGTTGATGACTCGTAAAACGGTAAAAGGTTTATATAATTACTCCCTCCATATTAAAAAATAAAGTCGTTTTGATAAGGCTTGGGTCAAACATTGGAAATATAAATCATGAATAATTTTTAAGTTGTTGAGTTTGGAAATGTGAAAATCATATGTATAGATTTGTCTTGAAAAATACTTTCAAAAAAAATTACATATATCATTTTTTGATAAATATCTTTATAAAAATAAGTAGTCAAAGTTATGCTTTGCAGACCGTGTCGCTATCAAAACGACTTCATTTTTTAGTATGGAGTGAGTATGTTTCTAACCATGAATCTAGTTAATCATTTTTTCTTATACGAGTTCACCAGTTAAAGGACACCTTGTTGTACTCTTCTTATAAGCTATATATCTGACCATGTAGAAGTTTAGTTTATTTGAAAACTTTCCTGTAGTTTTTTTGGTTGCCACTATATTGTGACAGCTTACCCAATGTACTGCTGTTCTTTTTTCCAGATATGGAATGCATTCGTATGAACACACTATTCCGGCTGTTTTTTTAAGAGGAAAACGTTGTTCCAGCTGAAAAAACAAACTGAAAAAGACGGATTATAAAAGAAGGGGTTGAAAAAACAAGCTGAAAAAGACGGATTATAAGAAAAACAGTGTTTTTAGTTTATTTTTTCAGTCAGAACAGTGTTTTTCTCTCATAACAAATCAGTCAGAACAGTGTTTCGGCTTATTTTTAAAGCGAACTTTCCCCAATTGGTTGAACCTTTTCGTTTTGCTGGAACAGGAAATGATAAATGCAGGCGAGCGAGAACGGGGGAGCAGCGGGCGAGCCCGGCAGCTCCAGCGCCCCTATGCTTCACATCATCTGGGCCGGGCAGCAAGCGGCTGCCTAGGTCGCGGCGCAGTCCGCTGGGCCAGTCAGTGGGCATCATCAGTGCAGTCTGGCCTGCAGGAAATGGAAATCCGTCCACGGCGAAGGCCTTGATTTGAATGCAGTTCGCCCATCGGCCCGTTAGCGGAGACAGCGCGAGCAGTGGGCGCGGCGCGGCGGACGCTTCGCCCTTTTAGTGCCAAACAGCTGGTTGAAGCTAGCAGCAGCAGGGAGCGCTGCTATTTAGGAGGGCCAGGAGCACCGTTAGTAGAGCACGCAGCTGCGCAGTGGGCACAGAGCGAACTATTCTTTCGCCTTTTACTAAAGAATACCTAAAGCCCATCTAAAGGAATTTATTTTTGGATAGTTCTTTCTCCTTTGGAGCCCAGCAGTCAAGTACAGAACGGGCAGATGATGAGACTGTCTACATTTGTAAGTCACTGTTAGGCCGTCTGATGACACTGTCCTGCAGATGAGACTGTCTACATTTGTTAGTCACTGTTAGACCGTCTGATGACACTGTCCTTTTAAAACTCTTTCAGGTAGTTTAGGCGTCCTCTTAAAATTCCTGTCAACATATGCGTGGAGGATTAAATAAGTCTAATTAGTCTATGATTTAACAACGTGGTGCTAGTACATGTGCTAATGATAGATTAATTAGGCTTAAAAAATTGTCTCACAAATTAACCTTCATCTATGTAATTGGTTTTATAATTAATTTATATTTAATACTCTTTATTAGTACCTAAATATTCGATGTGACATGAATTTTAGGAGCGACTAAAGAACCAAACACCCTCTTATTTATACTTCCAACTGTCAAGGAGTAATAGTTTGAGCAATGTTCAAGGAAAACACGAGCTGCATAGACATTTCTTTCCAGATCAGAGTTTTCTGATATGATAGATAATGACTTAATGCCAACATAAACTTGCACAAAATTCCACGCAATACATGTCAAACCATTCTTGCTTCAGTACAGCTTTTTTTAAATACATGTAAGGAATGAAAGAATTTGTATAAAACGTTTGTGGTTAACTACTAGTATACTTTGATTGATGAGATGGAATCACATCCATTAACTCGGGCTGGCAGATCATCGTGTGCCATAACACGGCCCCCACAGGCCCGCCATGGCCAACATGATCAGTAGGAGTACGTGTGAGGCCACTGCTGCCAGCGCCTCTGATCTTGTACATCGAGTTTTTGAAACATGAGAATACATCGAGTTCTTTTAAAACATGAGAATGAGAATTTCATGATCAATGTCCAGTAAAAAACAACAGAAAACCATTAACTCTCATTCGATGTGATGTTTACAACAAATCCTGTGGTCCAAATGAAAGAACGTTTCTTACAACATCTTTTCTTTTCTTTTTCACAACAACATTGCTGCAGACATGCAAAAGGAGAAAGGACCAGTACTGACAACCTAGAAGCGTGCCCAAATCGACGGTTTCTTTCCCCATTTCACGGACTGCTACAGCTCCGGTTCAGACAATGGCTGCCTGAAACCAATGGTGTAATATGGTGCCACAAATCGCACTTGATGGATGCTGCATTTCCGGTGAATAGTGGATACAACAAAGGCGCTGCTCAGGCCACTGGTAATACTGACAAAGCCACACTGGCGCTGGTCTGGACATCAGGAAACGGTTTCACTTCTGGCGATGACAGGAGATGACTTCTCAACGACAAGGGTAAGGAACAGGAATGAGCCAAAGGAGATGACGAGGCCAGTGGCCATCAGGATAAGCATGGCTTGCAGCGTGATGCTTGGGCTCAGGAAAAAGATGACTGCGATGGCGCCCGACTGCCACACCTTAAGCTGTGCAAAGGCAGCCTCCTGCATTGGCCGTGGTGTCAAATTTGAGTATTTGTTGAGCACAAGTAGGTACGGCAGCAAACAAACAAAATCTATAATACCCTTGAAATATCAAAAGAACGAACTCATATGCCAGCAGATGAGATGAAAGCCCATATGTGTACATGAAACACCAAACAAAAAACACTAAAACAAGATTACCTTGACATCTTCGAACAGCAGCCCAAGTAATGCACTTAACTGTGTATTCAAGACACCATCACCAACACCCCACAAGGCACCTATGAATAGTGGTATCGCTGCGCCAAGCAGTCCATCCATTGGACTGTGGGCAAGATAAAGGTGAGTAAGCAATCACAGTAGCAGTTATAAGCAATCACAGTAGCAGTTATAGGCACAATTGCATAATGGCTTTTACAGAAATCAAACCTGTAAAAAAGAAGCAACCAGAATAGGACTACGGCCTGAAGAATAGCCCCAACAGAAACTATAAATGCTGCTGAGCGAAGTCCTGAGGTTAATCGTCCAGCAATCAATGAGCACTGCAATGCCAGCCATGTTCCAAGAATCAGGTATGGTTCTACGTAGTACAGTTTTTCTTTCAGTAGCTTCGAATGGTATAATTCTATGTTGCAGATAACTGGAAAACAAGATATGCATTGGTTGCTAGTGTGACTAGTGCGCTTCGGAGGTTATTGCCTAAAGCAATGGAAGCAACAGGGCAAAATGAGTAAAGAATGTAGATTGAAAATGGTAGGCCGAATGGAGTATCTGATAAACGCTGTCTAGGTACAAGATGGTTAGTCATTCAACAAGTAGCTCATTTTCATTTAAATTACCACTACATCTGCTGCACCATAAATTGCCATGGCTCCACCAACGCCGCTGATGCCAAGAACAGGTGTTACAATACTCTTTGTGAATACCGCCCTTCAGAAAAATCCACAGAACTGTCTTAGAAAAATGCTTACTAAGAAGTGAACAACCATGGATGTTGAAATTGATATAGACTACATACCATACAAATGCCTGTTGTAAACCTGAATATGCTATAAGAGGAATGGTAAGAAGCATTCTTTGGTCCTTAAGTGGGGCAATGATGTACTTTAACATAGCTCCAAATGAGGAATGTGTTGGAGTATTATTTCTTTTCTCATCTCTTTTCGAAAGTAAACACATTAATACAATGCCCACAATCATAAAACCAAGAAACACAGCAAACAGAAGATTTTTCCCTGTGACACTTCCACCATCCTGAAGCGATATAAGAAACAGAGGGTCAAATAAGATGGCATCTCACAAGTAATAACATAACATTATAAAAAATATATATCAAGTGAAGATCATGCTACTATAGGGTAAATCATGAACCTTAATTTAGCTCTAGCTACTGATTGTAATTATCAAGAACAACCAGTGCGGAGGCTCCCACAATGCAAAAAAAAATGACTGGTGACTCAGTGAGACAGCTCTCACCACTGCACCAGGCCTGCCCTTCTATCAAGAACATAATGCCAAATGTAAAAAGAATCTACAGTTACGTTAAAAAAAAGAATCTACAGTTTGAAATATTACAATGTGATGCTAACCTTTCCATTTCTCAGCAAAGCAAGCGAGATCAGATTTCCAATCACCTACATAGTTCACATGTATGTATAAGTTAGAAACTATTGTACTGCAGAGGAGACATATCCAGAGAGAAATACAGTTCAGTTTAGGGATGAAGAATTAATACTAGAATATCTCCGAGCATGTTTTGATTAAGAGGAGCTCTTGGAAAACTGTACCTGTGTGCTAGCAAACATTCCCCAAAACTCCCCATTGAAGCTCCCTAAAGTTGGACCCTCGGGCAAATTATTTTCTCTTGCATGACTGAGGGCAGCTGATGTAAGGTATGTACCCTGCAATGAATGTATAGGTGCCTGAGGTGGAAAGAAACAGGGAATAATACGTATTAGAAAATCCAAGTAATAGCATTACCTGCCCAACCCAAATGATTGATGCAGTAAAACCAAGGTAGAGTGAAGCTGGCACCATTGTGTACCTGAAATTTTGTCATCTAAGTTAACATCACATGAGAGGCACCACGTTGAATGTACTGTAACTTTCTTTAGCATTTCACACAACTGAAACACCCACTAGATTAGGAAGCATATCAGATAGGATCAAAGGCTATCCATGTCCAAACAACTTATGCATCTATCTATATACTCTTATAAAGCTAAACCCCACTAGATGCTTTTTCTCTTCATGCAAGGTGTCCACATCATTTTCCACTAAGTGACCCACTAGATGTTCTATCTCTTCATGCAAGGTGTTCACATCATTCCCCACTAAGTCCATGTCATCCCTTATTAATAACAAAAAAAAAATCCACGTCATCTCTATCATGTGCAATACTTTGTTTCATCACCTATTCCCCTATAATTAATCAAATATTCTATTGGTTTTTCTTCTATTAGCTTATCGATTTTTACCAAATTCAATATAATAAAATAACATGCAAGTCAAATTCATATATATATATATATATATATATATATATATATATATATATATATATATATATATATAACAGATTTATTTTAAGTAAAATATGTATATAACAGATTTATTTTTAAGAAAATCCCGCAGCAACGCGCGGGGTAGTCTTCTAGTATCAAAGAAACAAGAAAACCATTTCCCTGGTAGCTTGTCTGGTATATTACCAGGAGAGATTCCACACTGGGGAGAGGCCCAAAAGATACCATGAACGCTAAATTCAAATATACTTTATTAAGAATCCCTTGACCTGAGTCCCTTCCAAGTCACTTATTGACAGGAGAAGGGCTGTGTAGAAATATAACACATATACTACCTTATTTCCCATCGACATGGACTAGACCTTTCAATGGACTGAATTTTGTGCATTCTCCATCAAATACAAACTATAGCACACTACCAAACAAGAGTTGATCAAGTAGAAATAAAGACTCATCACTTAACTCAAATGAACATCATCGCCTAGCAAGTAATTTGATCAGAGAGGTTTCTATCATGCATCCAAGTCCAATCCAACAGGCCAACACAGCACAGGCTACCATCTTTCAGATCAGACAAAGTGAGATCATAGCCGGGAGAACACCAGCCAAAAGCCCGTGGAGATCTAGCTGTTGAACAAGGAGGCAAATTAATAGTTCTGAGCCTGAGATGTTGTTAGGTGGCCGTGGAGTGGCAGTGTAAACTGATAGATGTCCCAATCACCCGAGGGGCAATGTCACACAAATGCTACCCAAACGAACGCTTCCTGCATTTTACCAAGGGTCTTTTATCGAACAGGTACCACGCGTCCAGTTCCGAACCAACACACGCCCCCCAAACACTAGCACAGCATCCGTGTCTGCCAGATAGGATCGCGATACACGACCAAAGACGCACGCACCATGTCGGGACGAGGTTGGCGAGGATGAAGAGCACGTATCCGCTGGTGCCGACGACGAGCGCGCGCTTGGGGCCCATACGCGTGACCACGGGCGACGCGGCCACGGAGAAAAGCGTGAGGGATGTGTACACAGTCCCCATCGAGACGGTGCCCAGGTCGCCCTCCTGCACCGTGAGCCACCGCGTGGATCACTGATGAGAACGAGCAACACAGGAACAGGAGGGATCGGAAATCCGCGAGTGCCAACGAAAGAGGGAGAACCGCCGCGTACGGTGTTGACGGAGGTCTGGAGGTTCTGGGCGGCGCTGTAGGCGGAGAAGACGAAGAGGAAGGCAGCCGAGAGGACGTGCGCGTCGGCGGCGTGGCTCCGACCGCCGCCCGCCGGCGCGGGCGCGGCGATGAGCGGCGAGGCGGCCTCCTCGTCTTCGCGGTGGGCGTCCATGGCTGCGGCCAACGAGGCTGCGAGGGGCGTGGGGCGCGAGAGTGGAGAGCGGAGTGAAGTGAGGGGAGAAGCTTCTAGAAGCTCTTATAGTCGGGGGCCTCGAGGAGGAGGAGGTCCGGTGGCTGGCCGGCGCGGGAGCGGAGAAGACGAGATGAGGCAGGCGGCCGGGCGTGTCGAAGGGCCCCACAGGGCAGTGGCTCACTGGCTTGTCCGTAGCGGCCGCTTGGTGATGATTTCCTGCGCCTTTTGTCCGTGTGTTCTTGTATGTTTCTTGCCGTTTGCGGATGGATTATTCAAGGACGGCGCACGTGGCTTCGGGGATCTCCCAAAACTTTCCAAGTGGATAGTGTATCCTCGCATCATTATCCAAGCTAAACAACAGATATTTTGGATCATTAGACGGCAACCAAAATCTGAAATTGTCGCCAAAAAGAAAGTTACTTATGGCTTCTTGTGAACTCAATTTTGATCTGGATTAAGTCAAGCGGAAATAAAAAAAACGAAATTCAGTTTGAAATCTTATGTCATTAAAAGTGTGTTTGTACGATGACCACGTGTTGCCACACTTGTTTGCCAAATGTTTGTTCGCCACACTTAAGCCCTACTAGAAGTCTAGAAGTGTGGGCTATGACATGTGGGCTAGAAGTGTGGCGAGTCGTGGCAGTCTAAGAATTTATGATTAGTCTAAACTATAAAGTGGCAAATTTTGGCTATGAACCAAATACCCCCTAAGCAATGCTACATGTACTTTGGATTTTGAGTCTCTTTAAAGTAATTTATTGCAAATAATACCCCCCCCTTATAAAAATGCCCATACCACTATGGACTTAACCGATTCAACACATTTTCACAAATTTAATACTTTGAATAGTATAAGAGCACCTCCACCAATCCTCCAATTCCCACTCCCAACAAAAAAACTATAGCTTTTTAGGGATTTGGGAGCTCCAGCAATCCGCAGCCAAGCAAAATCCACCCCTGACCCCTCAAAGATGAGAGACCTAGACTCGCCCCAATACATGGAGCTGTAGCATGCAGAGAAAGAAGAGCAAGCACCCTGTCCGTCTTCAGTGCGAGCCGCCACCGATCACCGAGGTCTTCTCCATCGGTGGCGAGTAGCACCAAGCATAGACCGGCCATGGGCATCATCGAGGCGGGCAACAGATGGGGCAGCAGCCGCAACAAAGGAGGAGGAACGATGTCCAAGGAGGAGCGAGATAGAAGGAGTGATATGAGATATGACACTAAGAGGAGAGAAAGAAATGGGTGGGGAGAGAAAAATAAAAGAGTTTTATTAGTAGATGACAAATGGTGCGCAACGTAGGCAGCAGAGTGCTTGTGGTGTGCTTTGGATGGCGGCTAGGATGTAGACAAAGTTCATGGACCCAGATGAGCGGAAAAAAAAAGTTCATAAACCTAGGTGAGAAGTGGGAAAAAGTTTAAGGACCCACAACGCAATTCACTAAACATATTAACTCCTCCAAACCATTTCAATCGGTTAGCTTGACCTCTTAACAAGATTTATTTTTTCTTTTGATTCTTAAAGTACAATTTGAGTTTTCATTTGAAAATTTATGAGATGATAGAGATCACATTTTTATGTTAAAAATACATATAGTTTGTAATGCCCCAAAGTTTAAACAACTCAAATCCCTTTACACAATGAGTTAACCATATAGTACCATCAAAGTTAACCATATATAGGATCCCTGGAGATTTGAGCCCCCCCTGAGGGCACCTATGGGTAAGCAAATTTATAAATCAATCTGTGATTTTTACTGTAATAAGCCATTAAGAATGTAACTGATAGTATTTGTTCATTAAAGTACAATAATAGTGTGATCTATGTTTCGCATATTCACAATTTATATAAAAGGTTAACTTGGGATTAGTGATACGAAGTCTAGAAGTCTTATATGTTAATCTAATCAAGGTGGAACTACACCCCATGATCTCACATCAACACACATTGGTCAAATACAAACTAGACGGATGTCATGTAAACCTCTCCCTAACCACAGTTTTAACGTCCTCGTCAGTCCAACACAGTTTTAAGAGAATTTTACAGTTATGGATGCAATTATTTATGCTCAGTAAAACGATAGGGTTGGTTTTAGTCACTTGCTAACCACTCCATGCCGCAATCAAAGACACTTTTTGTTTGAATCAAACAATCAAAGACACTTGAACTGCCCAATGTTTGCACCACCACGCCTCTAAAATAATCATGGCAGTACATTTTTTCCCTCTCGGTCTCAATAAGTGGAACTAGCATAGTCAGATGTCCGTTGTTTTCATCTTAAAATAGTATAAACTTCCTTGATGATTCCGGAAAGAAATCCATCCAAGATCCGTTAAAATTAGGACTGGTATTCCCTACTAGAGGGCCATACCTAAAGATTTTGCATCTACCACCTGCGTCTTTCTTCTGTTTTCCTTCTAGCAGGAATCAGGATTCAGAGAGACTCGATTAGACTTGCCAATTGTCGCCGATTAAGCTACACTGCTACAGGCACTAGACGACTGACAGAATTCAGATGCTATGATCCGCCCCTGGCTATTATACAACGGAACTAGGAGTATCTCAGATTCCAAGGACGGAGAAGTGAACCCCGATCAGCGGCGCTGCCGCGCTGCTGCCGCCGCAGCTGCATTGCAGTTGCAGAGGAACAGAGAGGAAGGGGGAGAGCCGGAGAGGAGGCCGGAGGCCCGTGCGAGCGTGCTTACCAGGAGGGTGCGAGGTTGGCGGCGATGAAGAGGAGGTAGCCGGAGGTGCCGACCACGAGCGCGCGCCTGGACCCCATCCACCGCACCACCGCGGAGCCCACCGCCGAGAACGCCGTGAAGGACGTGTAGAGCACGCCCAGCGAGATGTCGCCCAGGTTCTCGTCCTGCGACAGCACGGCCGCCAAAAGCCACGGGTGAGGTGAGAGGCACGTGTCTCTGGCGGAGCAGCGCCAGCGGCGCTGGCCGGCTGGCCGCGAGCAGAAGCGGCTGGTTGGGTTGGGCGTACCGTGTTGACGGTGCTCTGGAGGTTCTGCGCGGCGTGGTAGGCGAGGAAGACGAAGAGGAAGGCGGAGCTCAGCAGGTGCACGTCGCGGGCCGCCCCCGTCGCCGAGGCGCCGGGGCCAGGGATCAGGGACGCGGCCTCCTCGACGTCGCCGGCGGCCGCTGCGAGCTCGGTGTCGGCGCCCGCCATGGAGGCGTCGTTGGGGCGAGCTGGCGAAACTGGGGGAGGGGGAGGAGGTGGGTGGGCAGGTGGCGTGCTCCCTGCGCTGTGCGGTTTGCCGTCTGGCGTCTGCCCAGCCCAAGCGGTTGTTCTGCTGGTGTTCTTAGTGCTTGTGAATTGGGGAACGGGACGACGACGACGATGACGACGGGAGGATGCAGGCCGCGATTAGAAATTCTTTTTTTATATGTATATTTAAATATAAGTCACGGCCGCTGATACGGGACGATAGTTTGCGTGAATTAAAATGTTGCAAATTGTTAAATGCGACACGACATGGAAAATTTATTCCATCTGTAAAGTAAATTTAAATTTTGACTCTCGTCACATTGCCGGCTGAGCAGTAACTTAAGTTTTTTTTTCCCAGAAATGCTATACAATACATATATGTTTTAGCAAAAAAAAACACATGGACTTTTTTATCTCTCTCCCTCTCTCTTTCTCACCGGTGACCACCGGCGCCGACGACGGCGACCGGCGAGCTCGCCACCGCGGCGGCAGCGGATCTGTGATTTATCCTTCCATAGAAAAAAAATTGTGATCTGTGATCTGTGGAGGCTGAAAGTAGAAGAAGGATGAAGGCTGTTGGATCTTAATCCTATGATAAAAAAAAATTTATATGTTAAAACTGCATAAAACACATGGCCTTTTTTTCCCCGCTTCTAGGGCACCTATGCGTTTGAGGCCGTGAGGGCAAATTGCCATTCCTATTCTCCCCATTTTCACTCGTGTTTCTCCGAGTCACATATGTTCATGAGATTCTTATTTGAAAAAGAAAAGACAGAGTAAAATACAAAGATGGTCCTAATAATTGTTCCGGATTTAATTTAGACCAAACTTGTAATTGCGAGAGAAAAATGAGAAAGACGCCATTATAGGGAATAAAGTGAATGACAGGTTCCTGGTTGCACATTACAGTAATTTTTATTTTCCATTGGCTGCCACATGTGGCCAAGCAAAGCAACAACGATATGAATGAATGGTTGTTTCAAAAAAAAACGATATGAATGAATGGTGAAAAGAAAGGGGACATGATGAACGCCAAGTAAGCATGTCACCGACAGCACTCATTAGACGGTTCTGGAACTCAATGAACCAATGAATGAGTTTGAGGGCCTAGTAGAACTACAAATTAATAGTGTGACACCTATGTGACACCACCGAACAAGTTTAGAAACCATTGGTACATGTTACTCAGAAAATTGTTCATGGCATTCGATCGTGAAGTCTTCCCTTGAAAGAAAACATTCACGAATGCTGAGTTGCTAGTGATCATAGAACCATAGCTTGTGATCCTCACGGCCATATACAACCGTGCTGGTTCTGTTTTTATTTTCCTGAAAAAAAAGTACACTTCTTTTTTTTGTGAAAAAAAAACACTTCTGTGGGGTAAGAAGTCCATGTATTTGTCCAATACAACATATTCAAGATTGCCCAACTCAATGTACCACATATCAAGCCTGATTTTCGTTTTCCGTGTCTTTTCACCCGCTGTAACTTCAATTGAGCACTGCAACTTGACATCAGCTTGTTAACTCTTTTGGATCGACTAGGAGTAGATCAGTGGATATTTTGACTTCCATTCGAACACATAGATCTAGAGTTTGCTTCGAGAGTAGGAGACTGAGAGAGAGAGAGAGAGAGGGAGATGTAGGAGCATCTGACCGTCGGAGGAGCTCCCTGCCTTCGCTGGTTCGCCGGTGATGATCTGCGCTAGGGCAGCGACGCTTGGTGTAGCTGTGGAGACCGGCGGTGGTGGAGGCAGTGGCGCTTCCCGCCGCTGGCAGTGCCACCCTCTGGATCGGATTAGGGTTAGGATAGTGGGGCTGTGGCGGCGGTGAACCTCGTTACCTGAGCCATTTGCCCCACCTCCTCTTTATAGGCACTGTGCAACGGGGGCCCACCAGTCAGTAGATGGCTGGACGTCCCCGATCAGGACGTGGTCAAGGGGTCCGTCTCGACCGTTGGGTCAAGACGCATGAGATCAATTCTAACATTCTCCCCCTTGATCTCAACTCATACTTTAACTTTAAACTTTGACTTTAATCCCTTTCACTTTTATTTGTTCCATCACGGATTAGTGCATAGAGCATGCTTCATCGTCATGGTTAATCGCCGATAGACTTAACAGCTACAATACACGTCTCTGTTCTGAAACAGATTCTTCAACTTTTGGGCCCTTTATTGTCCGAAAATCATAGGCTATACCATAAACCCATGTCGACTATGTGTTCTCCAAACACACTGGGTGGTAAGCCTTTTGTACGCGGATCCGCAAGCACTTGCTTGTTACTTTTATGTTCAATACTTTTAGTATGATTCTGGACTTTCTCCTTCACAACGTATAACTTTAACATCAATGTGTTTGGCAGCACACTTGACCGTTGTTATAGGAGCGAACTACTTAAATGGTTATTGCTGTTGAATACCATTATCAATTCCGGGTGTAAGTTCTTTTAACCATTTCGCCTGTCCTTAAGCCTCATATCAAGCTATACCATGGTTATGCATCTTTGATGACACCACAATTGTTTTTTTGGAGCTTTTCCACAATAAAACTCCAACTGCGAGTGTTAGTGTAACAGAACCGACTAATTATACGAAATTAAGTAAGAAAATCATCCGCCAGAGCAGACGATTTAGCAAACTTAAGCCCGTATAACCCGGTAGTCCGTGAAATCACGAAGGATTTCAAACCAACTTCCATTCCAGCCAAGATCGTAATAAGTTTAGCGGTCACCATCACATATTACATAAAAGTTCACAATCTCAGATACATCAGAGTTTCAACATAGTTATTACAAAACCAGTTCGAATAAAAGTAGCGGAAGTCATTTGTTCAAACCAGACACACACTCACACGGAGTTCAAATATAGTGCCAGCGAATGATCATCTCCAACAAAAGCATTAGACGAGACGTAAGGAATGACCATGCCCATGGTCCTAAGCATCACCCATCGCAGGATAAAGGCAGTTGATACAGTAGCCGTAATACATCTGCCCATCTACAACAAGTGGGAATAAAACCCTGAGTACGAGAAGGTACTCAGCTAGACTTACCCGACATAACCAAAAATAAATGACACCAAGGATTATGAAGGGCTTTATAGTAGGGTAGCTGACTCATTTGCAAAAGAAGCATTTTTAGCATTTCAAGAACCTTTCTAAAAGCATTATTGTCAAGTTAATTATTATTAACCTTTCGACTAGATTTGCACCTAAACTAGAGCAAACATATTGAAAGTGCATCTAGCCCTTTAGTGGGTTTTGGTTGATTGAATGACAACGTGATTAAAGGACTAACCCGTTTGCTAAGTGTGAACAGGTAATAGGTTATCTCACAGGTACTTAATGAAAGCCAAAATGATGTGTTGTTGTATAAACAATCTAGTTCAAGCACAAGACAACAATGCAAATGGAATTCATGTGAAGGCTTATTTTTGTGTGGGATTTCTATATACTATGTGAAAGCAAGCTCATGATTATTAGTTAATGAGACATGAGGGATTGCATATGGAATGGTCTCATATTTGAAGCTTGCTAAATTAAAATGAAAAAGATAACAATACATATGAATGGATGATTCAACACAAGATGTGACTTGATGGCTTGAGATGGTGAAGATAGCAAGGAAAGGCTTCGAGGTACTAAGCAAGGGTGAAGGGCAAGCGACAGCTTGGCGGCCGAAGAACCTAGCTAGGGTGAAGAAGAAAGTACTTGCATTTAGTTGAGGTACTAATCAAGCTAAGATGGTCATATTGATGTGAAGAATCAAATCTATAATGAAGTATTTGATGGAAGTGACTTGATACGTTTGGGGTTATTCAAATTTGATGAATGGAATCAAGTCACATGCTCAAGATGGCTATGCTCAAATGAAAAGATCAACATCAACTTGTTAGCACCCTTACTTGATGAAGATTGGAAGGGACGGCATCAATTCAAAAGAAATCAACTCAAGTGGTATAAATTCATTTTTCCTTTGATCTTGAGTTTAATAGGTATGCCGTACTATTAAGAGGGATGCATCATGTTGATAGATAATGTTTCATAAGTGCTCAACCCAACCCATGTGAGGTTTGATTATTTGAGCGACAAATGTGCTAACTGATTTCTTGCTGGTCTGGCAATATCGGACGTGTCCGGTATTCATACCGGACGTGTCCGGTATTTGTCCAGCAGCTGTAAAATTGTTGTTCTCGGGTTGCTTCGTCGGGAGTTCCGACGTAGGTCGGGAGTTCCGACGGTCGGGAGTCCCGGCATGGGTCGGGAGTTCCGACGTCTCGCACTTCAACAGACTTAGAGGTTTCACTGTCCTGGTCATACCGGACGTGTCCGGTATTCACACCGGACGTGTCCGGTATGGATGACCAGAAGCCAACGGCTAGTTTTCAAAAGCCGTGAGGGTCGGGAGTTCCGACATGCGTCGGGAGTTCCGACACCTCACTAACTTTAACTCAGTTACATGTTTTTCAAAATTGCTGAGGGTCGGGGGTTCCGACTTGAGTCGAGAGTTCCGACGGTCGGAAGTCCCGGCATACTTCGGGAGTTCCGACGCCTCACAACATCACTGTAACTTAGTTACCGTTGGCGCAGTCTGAGTCATACCGGACGTGTCCGGTATGCATACCGGACGTGTCCGGTATTGCAACGGCTATAAAACGGCTAGTTTTTCAAGGGGGCTATAAATACCCCCAAGCCTCCACCTTTGGAGGCTGCTGATTCTGCTGAGATAGACACACGTTTTTGAGCCTTGCCAACTCTCCTAAACCCTCTCTTAGTGAGTGTGTGATCCAAATTGCAAAATCAATTTGTGGGTTGAGAGAGAATTTTAAAAAGAGAGCAAGCCACCACTTGAGCACTTGTGCATATTGTCAATCTCGTGATTCGCATTTGTTACTCTTGGACTCTTCGGTCCTAGACGGTTAGGCGTCGCCGGAGAGCAACCGAGAGATTGTGGTTGCTTCGG